ATGAAACAGAGTTTTAGCTTTAGAATGACTTTAATGAATACAATTTTAATAGGATTTTTCAAAATCCAACACCAAAGGTAAAAATCTTGCTTTGATCCACCTCCTTCGTGCCTTTAAAACCCAATCAATCCGACCACTATGGTGTATTTTAAAGGCATTCTGAGCCCTCTGTGAATTTTAGAGACTCCCCTTTCCTCACCGACTGCACATGGGGCATATCCACACAAGATGCTGCCCAAAAAGCAGCCCAGCTGGCTGCCCCAACAAAGCCAAAGTATGAAGACCCTTTGGTCACTGGAGGTGTGGCATCTACACAACTAGCATTCCAGGCCTGGGGGCCAGGAGCTGGCTCAGACGCCCATAGAAGGAAAATAGCAGAAGGACAATGCCAGCAACAGGAGACAGAAACCGAGTGGGAGCCAAAGAGCCTGATGTGTTCATTATGCTCTCTGGATACTTTGTTTGGAGATGTTTGGAAGTGAGAGATGCAGACAGAGTAGGTATCTAGCAAGTATGTGCTCCACCCTAGACAGGAGGTGTGAGTGGATGTTGGCAAGAAGGTTATGTGATCATGGCACAATTCTGACTGAGGATCATGCCCAAGGGTCTCTAACTCTCCACATTTATCCCCAGGATTCAAGAAAACAAAGTCCTTCAAAACATCCTGAGATGTGTCCCTGCCCATCCGGCTTCCTGTAGAAACAGGAGACCCAAGATTCTCTCATGGCAGTTGCTCTGCCCCTCAACCACAAGTCAAATGCCACCTCTCTAAAGAGACTCCCCTGCAGGCCTGGTCCCCCCACAACTCTTCACTGAAGGCCTGAGTCCCTCCCAACTGCCCTCCCCTGCTGGCCATCTTATGGTGGCCATCTTGTGTCCACATGGGGGCAGGATCTTTGACCACATGGGGCAGCCATCTTGTGTGTTGGAGTGATGATCAATCTGCATATTACTATTTTATTAGATAGGATAGAGGCCTGGTGCATGGGTGGGGGCCAGCTGGTTTTCCCTGAAGCATTTTCCAGATCAGGGTGGGGGTTCCCTTGGGGCATGGGGTACACTGACGAGGGGCCTGTGGTGGTTTGCAGGCTGGCTATGCCCCCTGGTGACCCAAGTGGAGGCCCTGGTATCTGGGATTTGTTTATTTTCTACAATTGAAACTTTGTAGCCTGGAGCAGAGCCAAGTACTCTGCTTGCTCTGTGGCAGCAGCCATTTCTGTTGGGTTATGTATCTTCTATAATTGAAACTTTGTAGTCTGGAGTGGAGGCCTGGGCTGGCCAGGGTGTGTGGGAAGTTTGGCCTCCTCCATTGCCAGGGCAACCCTAGCCTCCTGCTCTTTCCAGCTCCATGGCTGCCACCATTTCTGTTTGGATTTGTTTACCTTCTATAATTAAAACTTTGTAGCCTTGAGTGAAGGCCTAGATTGGCAAGGGCAGGCGGAAAGCTTGGCTTCCTCTATTGCCTGGGAAACACAAGCCTCCCTCCTGTTCTCTGTGGCTGTAGCCATCTTGGTTGGGTTTATTTGCATATTCGTTCCTGATTGGATTGTGGGCATGGTTCATGGGCATGGTTTATGGGTGTAGGGGAGTGATGGTTAATTTGCATATTACTCTTTTATTAGGTAGGATATCCTAAGAAATCTGAAATACCAATCATAAAGAATATATGCACCCCTATGTTCATAGCAGTGCAATTTACAATAGCTAAGATCTGGAAACAGCCCATGTGCCCATCATTAGATGAGTGGATAAAGAAACTGTGGCACATTTACAACATAGAATACTATGCAGCAGTAAGAAAGGAGCATCTGTTACCCTTTGAGACAGCATGGAGGGACCTAGAGAGTATTATGCTAAGCAGTCAGAGAAACACAAGTATCACATGATCTTTCTCATATGTGGAATCCAATGAACAAAATAGTGATGAACAAAATAGATCCATAGACATAGAAACATGGAACAGACTGTGGTGTCTCAGAGAAAAGGTGTGGGAGAGTGGGTTGTGGAAAGAAATCAACCAAAGAATAACCCATGGACATATTTGCATACCCCATGGACACAGATTATAAAGTGGTGAAGGCCTGGCATGGGGAGTAGGAAGGTGTGTGGGGGGTAGAGGTGGCTTAGAAGGGGACATATGTAATACTTTCACTAAATATATTTTTAAAGATGAAAATGATACAAATAAAATGGCAATAAATAAATATCAACAATTGAATATAAAAATCAAAATAAACAAAGAAGGAATCTAATGAACAAAATAAACTAATGAATCAAATAGAATCATAGTCATGAAAACATGAACAGACTAAGGAATCTCAGAGGGAAGGGGAAGGAGGGAAAAGGAAGAGATTGAGCAAAGAATTTATATGCATATATGCATTACCTTCGGACACAGACAATGGTGCTGTTGACCTGGAGAGGGGTAGGAAATGAGTGGAGGGAAGCAATGGAGGGAGAGAGGGACATCTGTAATACTCTCAACAATACAGATTTAAAATAAAAAATAAAAATCAAGTGAGCCCTGGAAACCTAGGCTCCCACCCTTGACCTGAATAAAAGCAGACCCCAGGCCCATATGCTCAGTCTCATCTAAACCTCACTGTATGTAGCAAACCTTGCCTTTCCAAAGTTTCCTGATGGCTACAGTTGAATGATGTTTTATAATCATAGTAAGAACCACAAGGACTGGTCCAGCCACAACATTGGTTTGGATAGACTGAGACCAGCACAAAACAAGCCCCACAACATAATTCAAAGTAAAAACAACACCAACCACAGAATAACTCTAAGGAAGCCTAAGAGCATTCTAGTTTTACCCATGAGGACTACTTTAATGCTTCTTTAAGTATCAAATATTAAATTATATCCCTGAATATTTAGAGCTCTTACTACCCACAGGTCTGCCTCCTGGGTGGCCAGTGTCTCATTATTCTCTGAAACTACCTTCTGAGCACTTAGTCCCAGATTTGCTGTTCCCTGTCTCTCCCACTGGACTTCATGCTCCTGGGAAGCAGTGAGTCTGTCTGCACCCTTGGGATCCTGCATGGCTCCTACAGGGCGGGGCCTGCTACATTTCTGTGAAGTGACAATGCCTCTCTGTCCTCAGGTCCCACGGTCTTCACCCTGCAGATGAGTGTCCTGGGCAGAGTTTGAAATAATGGACCTTACAGTGGAGAAGCAGGATGGGGCAAGGGCAGGGCCCAGAGGGGGCAGAGGTGGGGATGGGGCGAGGGGCTCTCTGTAGCTGTCCCTTTTCAGGGAGCTCTTCACTGATGAAATTCTGGAGCCCAGATACAAGGTTAGCAAGGGCCCTGTGGACTCTGAGAGGTCATTCGGGTGCCTGCTCTTGGTCAAAAGTTATACACAGAGCATCAGGGCTCCTAGGGGAGTTCATCTTCAAGGCAGCTCTGGAGAGTTTATTGGTCAGAGAAGGGTCTGTCTGCCTGACACTGGGCTGCCTGCCATTCTCACCTCAGACTGAGAGAAAGAGGGAGAGGGAGAGTTGCAGGGCAGGGGTAAGGGGGAGGAAGGAGCCTGGATGCTGGCTTCCTGGGAGGCTGCATCAGCCAGAGACACGTGGAATTAGCCTCAGAACACCAGAGTGAAAAATAGATTATTCGCTGTCAGGCCGAAGGATGGAACAAGACAAACAGCAGCTATGCATTGGACATGCAAATTTTGTTTGAAAATGGTGTGCCCAATACCCCAGCAGCCTTACAGATGGCTCAGTGCCACAGCCAAGTTGTACAGATAAAGAGAGACAGATAGGCAGGGAGGCACCAATGTCCTCTCAGAAGTGGAAAGAATGGGGGCTTTCAAGTCAGAGATGTGAGTTAGATTTTCAGCTCTGTTATTTACAACTTATGTGGGGTGGGGAAGAGGAGGGAAGAAAAGGGCTCCTATGGAAAGTAACATCATGATTCATAAATTCCTAACTGGGCAGGTGATACCCCAATCATATCACTTCTTTAATTTACTAAAAGGCTTAATTTTGCTTTAAGGCAACACTGTCCCTTGAGTCTGTGCATCTACGTTAACACCCCTTTGAATAAACTGTGACCACCTTCAAGAGAGCACATCATCTTGTTAACGCTCCTTTAATCTAATTCCTGCCTCGCTTTCTCCCACCTCCATGTAACCTTCCTTATGTTCTCTCCTTAATTTCAAATGCAAAAAAAAAAAAAAAAAAAAGCCTCAGACTGTTATTCTGTGAAGCATTTGGGACCTTGCTCCTGGCATATGCCTTCAGTTTGGCTCAAACTATTGTAAAAATTCTCTACAGCTTGGACTTTTCTTAGGTGGACAACAGGCTCCAAACACTTCTCTCAGAACCTGGTGGTTGTGAAGATAAAGCCCAGCACAGGTAACAAACCCACAGGAACTTCCAAGTATGAGCAGAAGCTTCCAGGGCTCCCTGCTACCCCCCTGCAAACAAGGAGGAGGCCCAAGGTGAGAATGGACGGGAAGGGCTTAGGGCTGTCACCCTGGTCCTCAATGCTTACTAGCACAGTCCGCAAGTCTGTTCACTTTCTTTCCTCCATGCCACTGGCCAATACTGGTCAGTTTTTCCATAACCAAGCCCCTCTTGGAAAGACTGAGACCTGAGCACACCTGCCCACCCTCTGCCTGGTGCCCCAGAAGATGGGATGGTTTCTGGGCCCAGCCCTCCAGCCCTGCGATCTGAAAGGGACCCCCACAGCTTCCCTAGTGAGGTTCTCACAGGGTCTGTGAGCCCGGGAAAGACTTCATTCCTCCCGCCAGTCACCGCATAGACACCACTTGGGTGAGGAAGGGTCCTGCTCCAAGAGCGCCCTGTCACTCCTGGCACAGCCATCTCACTCCAGCCAACGAAACCTCCTTGAGAGACAGACAGATTCCTCTTCCGTTTAGGAGGCTCAGTGGGATTCAGACCCTGGGCAGAAACAGGATTCACGGGGAAGGCGTGAGCTCGGGGTGGGGAATTGCTGTGCAAGGGCTGTGCACAGAGGCCAGCTTACCTTGGTGAAGGTCAGGCAGTCATGGTCCTGGTCTCGGTCCTTCATCTCAAAGTCATACAGGGCTTTGCCCTGGGGAGGGACGGGTGGCAGGGGCCTGAGGCACTGCACATAGCTGGCGGGCAGGAAGCCGTGTGCGCCACGCAGCTCCCCGTGGAACCAGTGCTCATCCACCCTACGCCTCAGGATGATGACATCCCCCTTGTTGAACTTGAGGTCACCAGGTTCCTTCCCCTCGTAACTGTAGAGGGCTTTGCCACAGGGGAGCTGGGAAGGATTCTGAAAGCAAAACACAAGGCGGGTTACTCAGCGTGGCCTTTCTGCTGCCTGGGCGGCTTGGAGTGTGGGCTCCAGGCCCGGGCAGGTGCAGGGCTGCCCTTGAGTGGGGAGTGTTTCAAAGGAACAGACCCTTGTCCAAGGAACATGCAACCCATTGACCCTTCCTGGACAACAGGATTCACTAGACGCGCCCATGATGTCATTCCCTCTCCAGTCATGTGTGTGAGGGGCCAGGTATTGTCCTTGACCTTGGCACACACCAGCTTACTCTGTGCCGAAAAAGACTCTGAAGCAGGAGCTAAATGATCTTCATTTACAGGTCAGGACACTGAGGCATGGAGAGAGAGAAAGTAACTGGCCTGAAGCCCCACACCTGTTAATTAGGGCAGAATCTCCACGTAGGGCTCTGACTCCAAAATGTTCTCATCCACCTCTCCGTGCTGACTTGATCTAGCTCCAATGGGAGCTATTTCTATCTGCCAGAATTCCAACAATTATCTTCCAACAAAATTCTCCTTACTTATCTCTGAAACGTCCCAGCAACTCAAAACCTGCCTCAAGGGGGTTTCAAGTTGAGGCAAGAGACTTGCACAGACTATAGTGTCCTTCCCACTCGTGGTACACACCTGTGACATGTAGTCCCAGAGACAGCCCAGCGTGGAAAGTGGAGGCCTCCCTGGGACTGTGGCCCTCAATGTTTTGTAAGTTCTAAAGAGTCCCAGCTGTCACAGACCTCCTCAACCATGACTCATAGTTTTTTGATCTCTTCAGCAGTCTGGTCCTGACAGACAATATGAAGAGCATAAAATAGTATCCCCTTAATATCATAGGTATTCTTGCTACCCTGTCAACCCTTCCAAAAGTGATCTGCCATCTTTGATCTCCAACAGTGACTAGCTCTGAATCGAGGCAGAATTCTTGGCCATCTTTGTGCTTCAGCGGTAAGTTGTTGAACTACTCTGAAACTTGATGTCACTGTTCATGTCCTCAGCTCCTCTCACTGTTTCATAAAGGCCAATGCCACCTGGGTTTCTCTTCCTCTTGTTTACCGGTGGCCCACACTGGTTCAGCTGAGTAAGCTTTGCCAAAGGCCAATTCTATGCCAGCAGAAAAATAAAACAAAAACCTTACTATTGTTCCTGTGTCAAAACTCAAGGATTTTCCTAACAGAGCTGCATTTTCTCCCCAGGGCTGTCCATGCCAAGGATTTCTTTAGTCTTTGAATCAGTCAATACAGGCCAAAAGCCCGAGGCAGGAGTGCATGGGGAGCGGGTGCAGAGGATTTACTAGCTTGCTACACCTCCACCTCCCACATCTGTGTGTCAGCATTGGCAGCAACAGGAGCTGAGGAAACCTGCTGGCAAACTGCCAAATAGCACCACCAACCCACTAAACAGAGCACACAGGATTTGCAGTATTCAATGAGGAAAACATCAGTTTGCTTCCAGCAACATCCCTCCTGGCAGGCTTTCCTCTGCATGCACAGTAGACTGGCACAGGCCCAAGTTTTAGAGAGCTGGGCAAAGTGCTACTTAAACCCAAGGACCGTGGTCAGAAAAGAATAGCAGAGGCTGGGGGTCACACAGCCAGTCAGCCCCCAGCCCGAGGGTTCCAAATCTGGGACATTTTCACCCCCCAAAGGCCATCTGACAATCTCTGAAGACATTTTTGATTGTTACAACTGGGGAATAGGCGCTATTGGCATCTAATGTGTAGAGACCAGGGATGCCGCTAAACAACCTAAAATGCACGGTCCCCTTCCCCCAGCATTACCCGGTCCAGAACGTCCATGGTGCTCTGGCTGAGAAAGCCTGCTGCAGCCCTCAGGCTACATTGACAAAATGACAGAGTATCTTGTTCTCTTTGAACTCGGTGTATCACAACTTTAAAACAAACATAACATTTATTTATTTCTGTGACTGCAGTATTTTCAGCAGTGACCACATGGAGAAGTTGATAGATCCATTGAGGTAAGATGTATTGAAGAAAAGAACTTATTGTTAATCTTAAAAACTGGCCTCAACGAGGTGTACAAAAGAAAGCATCACTTTGTCACAGACAGACTCCATTTCCTTAGTCTCAGACTAAGAGGGCCATGCTCAAAAGCAGTATTTATTGTAAGAGACATCGACTATGAGGCTGTTTGGTCCTTTTTTCTCTGTGGGCAAGAGCAAGCAGGAATGGCCAGTGTGTACTTTGTTTCAATGCTGAGCCTCCCTCTATGCATTTTCTTGCCATTTCAACACAAACACCTCCTCTCACCCCATGTTGAAGACACACTAACATGGCCACTCTGCCTGCCCACAACTAGCTTACTAGCTCTGTTGATACACAGGACACTTGTAAGCACCACTTACTTGCATTTTGTATAATCAGCATGGAGAACCCCGGGTTCCAAGGTAATCCTCTTTGAGGACAGTAGGTAGGTAACCAACAAAGTGGTAAGTTCAGCTCTGCATTTGGGCTTGTAACCTCATATGATTCTGAACTGTCCGTCTTTGCTAGCACCTTGGGCCCTTTCTCTCTCCCCCAAACCAGGCAGCATCCCAAGCTCTGCTCGCCTCATCCTGGAGGCTCTTGTCCTTCACTCCCCACTGGATTAGACATATTCCACCAAGGCCCCAGAGCAGGACTGTGCTGTGTTTGCCTGACAATCCTGAGACCAAGGAGAGCTCCTAGCACCAGGTTTATGCCCTATCATATGCTTGTTAATTCATATATGCTCTATTCCTGAGATAGGGTGGGGTGTGGGGAAGTGGGAAAAGTTAGAAGTGACAAACTTATCTGACATGGCAACCCTGTAAACCAGCATGCCTCACACAGGTCTGGAAAAACTGCTGGTATCAGTTCTGCACAGAGGAGAGAGCAGGTGTTCTAGCATGTGAACCAGGAAAGGATGAGTCCAGGTTCTGAGAAGTAGAGTTCTCAGAAGTAGAGTTAGGAAGTGGGCTGCACATAGCCTACCACTGCTCCTGGGGCAGCGTGGAAATGCATTTGGGACGCCTAAAGGATAATTAACTCCAGCCACTCTGCAAGGCATTAATAATAATTAAACCTTTAATGTCAACTTTACAGCTCATTACTCAGATGTAGCAGATGAATGCTGTTAGGGGCTTAATGTCCTCCCATGGAGACATGGGTGCTGGTATGTGCACAGCGGCACCCACTCATCTTTTACAGAGATCATTGCGGCAGGGGGACTTAACAAAAGTGCTGCCTTTCCACCACACCTCGAATATTGAGTGCAGCTGGCTCCCTGGAAGTGAGGGCAGGCACCACAGCTGGTGTGGAGCACGGGAGGGAGGCAGCATTGGCTAGGTCAGGCTTCTCCAGCTCTCCCAGCGAGCCAGGGTGAATAGTGCAAAGGACTCACTGATCTTCCAGACTCCAAGAAGACCCAATCTCCCTTTCCCAGTGCTTTCCACATAGCACTTGTCCTGGATCTAACAACCAGTTACCAATGGAGATCCTGTGTTACCAGAAAGACCTGGCCCTGAGCACTCTGCATCAGGCTGGCCTACTTGTGGGTTCTTGACTTTGTGCAGAAAAGATTTCACAATACAAGTCCAGGTGATTTTGATGGTACATTTATGAAAGCCAGAGACAATGAAACAATAGAAGAAGCAATAGGAGAGCCTAGGCAGGGCTGCTTTGGATCACTGGGAAGTCAGAGAAAAGGGAGACTTGGAGACAGGTTCAGGGGTGAACCTGGAGTGAGCTGCCACTGCCCATTTCTCCCTTGGTTGTAAGTCTATGGGGACCCTTACAGTTTAGCAGTTGCACACATGTGGGGAAAGAAGAAGGAGAAAGGAAAGGCAGGAGCATGCTCCAGGAGAGAAAGCTTATGCCAGGTTCTTTGTTTTGAAGATTTTTTTTTAAAGCTGAGAGTTTAGGGAAGGTTTCAACAAAATATTCATCAGCTTTCCACGTGTATTCTTTCATGTTCTAGACTCCACTCAGTATTAAAGCAGGGGGGTCATTAGTCATCGCAGCTCGTCCTGGCAATGCCCACCTGATTTTGCTGCTTTTCTGGGTCTGGAGCTGAAATACAACTAAGGCTTAGATGTTATATCTGGGGAGATAACCTTCTGTGTCTGCTGTAAATTGCTTAGCCAGTTTGTTCAGCTCTCTGGCTCAGTTTTCCTATTTCACTTGCCAATTAATTTTCCTAGCATCTTACTCTCCTGTCTCACCCAGACTATCATCCTCACCTAATTTTGTTTGATGCTGCATCCTACCACTGGCCTGACAGTGGATACATGTTCAAAATTCCTGTTGAATTAAAAACCAACCCCTGAAATTAGGGCCAGAGCTAAAGAACCTCTGGCTGGAACAACCAAACAACCATTCAAAGCATAATATGCTAATGATATGCTAAGGCTGCTCAACCACTCACTATGATGTGCACTGACCACTAGGTGCCAGATAGTCAACTGATCAACCAGTCACTATGATGTGCACTGACCATCAGAGGACAGATGCTCTCCTGGTAGGTTAGCTTGCTGCTGGGGTCCAGCCAATCGGTATTGATCGGGACAGAGCAAAATGGGCTGGACATGCCCTGGAGCCCTCCTGTGGTTCTTTCCCAGGCCAATAGTGCACTGGTGGGGTCCCTCAATCTGACTTGCACCCTCTTGCAATCTGGGACCCCTCGGGGGATGTTGGAGAGTCAGTTTCAGCCTGATTTTGCAGGCCACTCGAGCAGGTAGGAGCTGATGATAGAACTGCACTGCAAGTTTTGGCCTGATCCCTGCAGGCCACCCGGAGGGATCCCACCCATGCATGAATTCATGCACCCGGCCTCCAGTTAAACAATAAATGGATTACCAGTGAGATCAAGAAAGAAATAATGAATTTCCTGGAAACAAATGGAAATGAACACACAACAACCCAAAATTTCTGGGACATAGCAAAAGCAGTCCTGTCAGGGAAGTTCATAGCATTACAGGCCCACCTCTAAAAACAAGAAAAATTAATAGTAAACTATTTAACCCCACAAC